TCTTCATCCCTCTTGTACTTAATAAACTCAGAGCACACAACCAAGTGCCACTATTATGTGTAAAGTACCTAGGGATGGAAGGAAGCCTCTTCTAGCCAAGATCACACATACAAAGCCTTTGCTGTGGCCAGTGCAAACCAGGATCTATTTTTATTTGGCTATGCTATCAGCAAGACAGTAGATGTAACAGCAATAAGAATGGGGATAGTCATAGCTCTAACTGCATTGTGGCACTAAGACTAGTCCCCTGGGGGCGGACCAGAGGGGAAACATGGCCCTGACAGCAGTGTTAGGCATCAAGAGTTGGTCCCTACAATCAGCTTACCCTTGACCCTGGCACCTGGTTTTAATACCATGGTAATCTCTAGCCTCAGGGGCTACTGTTCAAAACAGAGACATGTTCAAGAGACTTGGAGATAACTGTCAGGCAGTTGAGGAGCCACTTAAAGACAAAGAAGGACAGGGGAAGATTTGACGGATGCCAGCATAGCAACATCCCTAGGAAAAGAACAGGTTTGTACCAAAGACAAAAGGTGAGAAAAGTGGTGCATGTGTGTACACGACACTAAGATCTGTCCCGTGGAGAGCTGATGAGAGGAAGACCATGGACATGACAGTGACTTCATGAAAGGACAGGACAGCACGGCAGGCGAGAAGGCAGAGCACATGGATCCTACAAAATGAACATAAGATGTGTTGGTTATTGTCGTCATTGTCACCAAAATCCTTGCCATAAACAATTCAAGGGAGACGGGATTTATCTTAGCTCACATTTCAGAAGGCTCAATCCATGGAGATTTTGCCCCATCCTCTTGATAGAACATGACAGTGGCAATGTGTGGCTGACCTTCAATTACTGGCAAACAGGAAGCAGAGAGAGGAGGGAAATACAGGAAGGAGCCCAGATGGCTTACAGCCTGCAAGGACATGTCCACAGTGTCAACTTCTTCCAACTAAGTCTCGCCTCCTGCCTTTCCCCACATAACATCATCTTGTTACCTATGAATACACTGAGGGCTTGACTGATCCATCCATGATATCCCCACTGTCATTGTCCTCTGTTCTCTGGAAATTCCTCCCAGACATGCCCAGGGGTGGGTTTTAGTGATCTCCTATTCACTTCATAATCCAATCAAGTTGGCAATCAGGATTAGCCATCACAGGGGGCATCTCTATATTGAACACTAGAGTTTATCCAGAGTATTCAAACCTAGGACAAACATATCTTTATTCAACAGGAAAAAAAATACTGTGACTGGATCTCTAAATGGTAAGTCATTAAGTATAAGAAGAGGATCACAAGAGGAGGGACAGAGACACAAGGGGAAAAACACACACAATTGGTTATGGTTTTTTGGATTATTTGGGAATGAAAACTCAATATGAAGATATGAGGTCATCTGAAGGATTCATTTTCTTTTCCAAGGTTTGAGGCAATTCCAAGCATGATACAGGATCTACTCATTGTTTGTCAAATAACAGTGAAATTTCCATTGTCTCAATCCCAATGACAGGGTTCCCCTCCATTGGGTTTTGTGTACTTTAAATGATAGAATGCAAAGGAATAATTAGTGAACAGTCAACACATGTTAACAGTTAACCATGTCCCACCTACCTCATCATTTCTTCTCAGTGACGTAAAATGGACGCTAAGAATCACACATGTGAAATGGCCTTCGTGCTCAATACCAATATATGACTGACCAATCTGAGGATAGGTGTGCCAATTTCTTCTTTTCATCTGCCATCATCACTTTTAGACCTTTTTATTTGAGACAGAGTGGCTGACCTCTAACTAGCTATGTATTCAAGGATGACCTTAAATGTTTAAACCTCCTGTCTGCTGAGATTACAGGTGTGTACCTCATTGCCCTGTCTATGCAGTGCTGAAGATCCTGTTCAGGGCTTCACATACGCTGAGCAAACACCCTCACACCCTCTCCACAACACTCATTGCCTGGACTGCTATTATTTTTAAAGTTTCTTTCCCTCCAAGGACAGTAGACTGAAATTCTGAAGCACAGAATTGTTAGCTAAAGAAGGAGAAATTTTTATATTCTTAGATTCAACAAATACAACTATTTGAATGTGTCCCCTCCAGAACTCACATTGGAGCTGCATCCCCACTGTCCTGGTCTTTTGAGACTGGGCCTTCATATGACCACTAGAGCACGGCAGCTCAGAAGAAACTTTGTCTCTCTTACCCTTCTATCTTCTGTCTCATGAGGACAGAGCAGCAAGACACCATGTTGGAAATGGAGAGCAGCCCTTATATAAACACTGGTACCCTGTTCTTGGACTTCCCAGTCTCTGGAACAGAAGGAAATAACCTCTTGTTTCTTATAAATCACCCCATCTTGAGCATTGTGTTACAGGAATAAGAGGAGCAGGAACAAGACAAGGGGCCCTGAGTTACTGTGAGCTAGCTACGGAAATGTATGAATCCTTCTTCAAATATGTGATAGATCCCTGGTTCTGCCTCTCGACACTGCAGATCCTGGATGAGTCTCTATCTGCTACAGGTGCCTGTCCATGACAGGCAGGTTGTTCACATGCTGCCCAACTTACGGGAGGGAGGGAGACCCAGTGACAAACTGGGGTGAGGGGTAAGGGATGAGGGGAAAGTGTGTGTGCGTGTGCTTTTTGCACGACACTCTGCCCCTCCGAGCACCTTGAAGACAAACTCACACCATTAATCTCCAGCCGCTATCCGTGTTCACGACAAAGATACAAAGAGGCCAGAAGGACTCAGCAATAAGGTGCCTGCCATCAAGCCTCATGACCTAGTGCAATCCCCAAGCCAAGATGGTGGAAGAAATGAAGCAACTCCCCAAGTTATCCTCTGATCTATATGAACATGCATATGTATATGCACACACAATAGATGGATGGATAGTTAGATAGACAGACAGATACACAGATACATGGAAAGACAGATAGATACATTAAACAATAAAGTGTATGTGTGCTAAGGAATAGGCAACCTCCTGAATCTTTCCCACCTCTATGAAGTCTCAGCCCTGAAATCCCTGAAGTTCTGAAATGACAACTTTTGGGGTCCCTGCTCACTGCTGGCATCCTCTGCAGAGCCTCCTTCCATCATTACCAACCTATTGATCTGAGGTGCCCGGCACCAGTTCTCCACAAAGGGAACCCACCAGTGGCCCCAGTCCCTCATGTCTTCCCAAGTGAAACCTTTCTTCGGTGTTCTGTTTTGTGAGTCTGGCAGTTTTGCGTGGAATCCTCTGAAGTGCTGAATTTTCATACTCAAAGAGCATCCAGTTAGGAGGTGAGAGGTCAGCGACAAAGAACACTGAAGGCTCGCTCCCCCCAGCCGCTGGCCACAACTTCCACCAGCCTCACTGACCGGCGCCGCCCTCTCTAAGTGATGTGTGAATCGTGCTCCTTGGCAAGTTCTCCTTCATCCCCAAAGAGCTATGAGATGGCTCCCTCCCATCCTTAGGTTTCACTCGGCCTTTGCTCTCACAAGCGCTTACTCCACAGGGTCATCAGAATGGTCTTTTACACAGAGACCCAGAAGATTTCTGCCTGCAGTGACTTCTCACGCCTTCGCCAGCATTCACCCACCTGTGGCTACACTCGGGTAGGTTTCTCGTGTCTCGGGATCAGCTGGCTTGTGACGTGTCCTTCTAAACTCTTACATCTCTTCATCCCTGCTCTGTAACATCCCAGTGAGCTTGGGTTCCCTGCTCAGTGATCTGGGCATCACTGAGAGTCACACAGGGGTGGAGCTAACGATGGCCCTTGCTAGGTAACCAGCATACATGGATGTTCTGTCGCTTGCCCCATATCCAAGCCAGTCCAAATGTTCAGAGGAGAATAAACATGGCACCTTGATACAACGAGTCCCTTAAAGCTGGCCCCCCAACAACCCTCCCTGCCACCTGGTATGGATGGAATCTCCATCCAGGACACTGGCCCTCTTGTCCTCTCCTAACTTATCCCTTCCTCAGTCAGAACCCCTTCCTGAATGTCACTGTTCCTTAGACGTTAGGAAAGCCCCATGGTATACTTTCCAGGCCCACATGAAATTAAACTTTTGTGATATTCTTAATAATTTGACATCACCGAATTTTAATCTTCAAACTAGACATCATCCCCATTTTATAGATGTGGAAACTGAGGCACTCAAGCCCTCTGACTCCATACCCAGTGCTATTTATTCCGGATCCTGTTCACTCTGGAGCCTGAGGATCTTAGACAGAGAAGATTCTCTAAGGTTTAGCTCCAAGTATCAAGTAAAGAGTGAATTATGAAGAGCAGAGCAGAGGTCCCAACCATCTGCTGTTTCTGTCTCTGCTATGAATTAACTCAGATGAACCTTCCTGTTCATCCCCAGTTCTCTTGTTCATAAAACCACGGGACTGAATTAGCCAACCCTGCTGCCCCACTCAGCTGTTCTTTGTCTCCAGCCCCGTCCCTGCCTTGCTGCTAAAATTAGGCAGACAGCATAGTTCAAATGCCTTTCAGTTTTGGTTCTTGTGGCTTTAAACACCCTACGATTAGCTATCCATCCAGTGTTTGATTGGCTATCTGTGCAGCTAGTGTGTCAAGAGGGAACGCACCTGCCATCTCTTTAGTGGTCTCTCTTCGGCAGGGTCATGAGCAGATAAGTCTGGGGTCTCTAGCCTCATGTCTATACCTAGGACACCCGTACCCCAAAGAAGAGCATCTTTAGAGCTGTGCAGTCTCACAGCAGCAGCTCTCAACCCAGGACACCCCTGACTACACCCCAGAACACAGCAGAAAGGAAGGTACACCAGCGGCGCTGCCAAGCACACCGTAATGCAGAGGACAGTTCTCTCAACACAGAGTCGTCTGACTCACAATGCCAACGGTTCCCCGCTGAGAAGTCTGCCGTCGAATGCCAACTGAAATGGCAGTCCTAATGCCATCTAACGCTTTCAGCTGACCGCAACCATATAGGAGGTCACCAGCCGGGTGTATCCAAAAGAGCCAAAGGTCTGAGCATCTCTTACCGTGCAAAGAAGGAAGCAGCCACCGAGGTACCGGTGGAAGTCTCGCTGGCCACACAGGAGGCCTGTGAGGCAGGGACACTGCCGGCTGCAGGCTTGTCTGCATTGTAGCGGTTCAGCGCCGATTCTGTCAGTCCCTCTCTGCCCGTCTCTGTCATCAGCTGGGAGATCTGACAAGGAAAATGACATGGAGCTCATTACCTGGGGCTCACAGAATTTCTGCCCATTGCCAGCAGCTGATTGTTTGGAGAACAGGGCGGGTTTAATCCTACCCACACTCTCAACCCGGGGCACACAGGGTTTCTGTGACCGTCTGTCTCTCAGCGTGTTAGCGTTTCCATTTAAAATAATGGAGTAAATAACCTCGACGTTGTGGGCTGCATTACACCTACATTTTCCCTTCCTGGGGTGGGGAACGTGTCACTCATTAGCCATGTGTCTTCGTAGGCCAGGATCTGAACTGTGACATGAACTAGCTTCATACCAGGAAGGCCCCAAGTGCCCCAGAGTAGAGAGCTGGCAGAGGTTCAGCTGATGGAGGCTTGAGCAAGCCTGCTAATGAGGAACCCAGGGATTCAGATAAAGGGGTCTCAGGACCAGAGGTTGGGGTCAGCTGGGGGAAGACAGGTGGATTACAGACACAGATAAAAATAGACACAGCTACCATGAATTACCTTCGGGTCCATTAACGGGACCATGAATGATTTCTGCCTTGTTTCTTTTTGTTATTTGGTTTTGTTTTTGAGACATGGTTTCTTACAGACTGGGCTGCCTAGAACTAGGTATGTAGTCAGGTCTAGTCTCTAACTCTTCAAGCTCCCATTTCCACCTCCCCAGTGCTGGAATCACAGGAATATGTCACCACATCTGGCTAAAGTATTAGTAAGGTATGATGGTTGATTTTAATTGCCAACTTGATACCATCTGTGGCCTAGATCAGGTTGGCCTGTGGGCATGTCAGGGGTGGGGGCCTTTTCCTTAATTAGGTTAGCTGACGCTGGGAGACCTACTCTGAATGTGGGTGACATTTCATAGGCTGGGCCCTGAACTGTATAACAGTGGAAAACATAAACAGAGCAAGTAGACATGGTGCTATATTGGGTTGGTCTTCCTACCTCAAATGATATAATCAAGATAATCCCTCACAGACATGTCTACAAGACAACTTAGTCTGGCCAGCACTTCCTTGAGACTCCCTTCCCGTGTCATTCCAGTTTGAGTCAAGTCGACAGTTAACACTAACCATCACAGGGACTTTCTCTGAAGCCCAGGTTGACCTGAAATTCACCATGTAGCACAAGATGGCCTCAAGCTCATGGTAATTCTGTTTCAGATTCCCATCTACTGGATTTACATGTGAGCACCACCATGTCCAGTTTAAATATAGGTATTTTTTAAATTAGTTGCAAGCTGGACATGGTGGTACACCTTTAATTCCAACATTCAAGAGGCAGAGGCAGGAAGATTTCTGAGTTTGAGGCCAGCCTGATATACAGAGACAGGGGTATGACATGAATAGCCACTTCAGATCCTGGCTCCTCTGACTTCCCTGCTACGGTGGAGTGTAACCTGGAATTGTTGGGGGTGGAATAAACCCTCCCTTCCTTGACTTACTTTTTGCTGGGATATTTTATCACAGTAACCGAAATAAAACGAGAGCATACCGTGTTTTTGTTTTGTTTGTTTGAGAATAGGTATCTTGCAGCACAGACCGTCCTTGAACTTCCTAGGTAGCAGAGACTTTTTTCGTTTCATTTCCAGTGGTTGCTTTTGTTACAGAGATCCACATAGTCTATTCTGTCTATCCCCCATAGTCTGCTATAAAGATCCACACTTCTGGGGAAATGAGGATATGGTATGGAAACACACTTATGTTCATCTTACATGATATGGTGATTGTGTGGTTACTTTAAAATTTTAACCTACTTCCAAAGGGGGAAAACATTAGTTTAAATAAACAAAGGAAAACAGGGATAACTTCAGCTAAACCAAAAGGTCTTTGGCCTGCCGCAACCCTTAAATGATGAATGGAAAATATTCCCATCACATATAAAACACAGGTGTAATAGAGCCCAGGGCAGGAGCCTTTTCCCTTGGGTGCTGAGCAGGGTGCCGGCCATGACAGACCCTGTGTTAACTGGGGACATGAAACCATTCATACTTCTCTGTATTAGCAGAAGAGCCATTTACTTTGCTTCCCATTGACTCCAAACTTCTCTCTGCTTCAAGTCCTGCTCTAAATTGGGAAGTTTGGCATTATTCGGTGGGAATCCTGCTAACCGCACTTTCTTACTCTCATTCTATACACAAGAGAGAAATGTGACCCCAATCAGAGCAGCTGGAGAGGCGACAGCACAGAGAAGGCCCAGAGGATGCTATCCCTGTATTCTATAGGGTTACTAACTCCCATAGGCACAGGCCACCTCTATGGGCTTCCTATGCTACCAAAAGCTCATCCCAAAGGGGACAATGAGGAGACTGCCACACACACAGTTGTCCTCACCGGCTAGTAATGATAAAGCCACAGGGGTGCGTGATGCTCTCCTGGACAGCATCCAGGAACAAAACCAACCTCGAGAATCCACGGCATCTTGCTCCCATCTAAAGCACACGACTGGTTTTCACTCACAATGATGTTTGAGAAAAGTCAGCAAGCGAATGAGGTGGGGTCACTGAGATATTCCCACCCAATCCTCTGTGGATGTTTCCTTTCCTATTATTACGCTTATTTTTAAATGTATTGTGGGTCTTTTTTATTTTTAAGGAGCGCTTCCATTTTCCCTTCAGTAGCTAATACTCTGCAAGTTACACATCACGGAATAATGGACCAGGACTGCCTTGTCCACTGTATACCAAGGTCAATATAGCAGCACAGAGAGATAACAAAAGCCCATTTGTGGAATGGATCTAGACTTTTATTTCCTACTGCTCATATCTACCTGATTAAATCTTTTCTACAGTCCTTTAAATAAGCAACCGGATCTCTTTTCCAGGTTTCATTATTTTGCTAGGCATGTCCTCATCCATGCTTGGCAGGCAATCTACCACCGAGAACACCCCAGTGCTTCCTCTTCAGTTCCGTTGTTCTCGGTGCTTAGCTGTACCAGGCACTTCGGGAGGCACATCTGCAAACATGACTTTGTGGCTCAGATGTCTTCAGTATTTACCCTCTTTGCAATCTGCCCATGGGGCCCTGGCTGGCAGTCTGTTGTACAAAGACAGGACACAGGCTGCACTCAGCGTCTGGGCTCCGTCCAGCTTTGTCTTTATCACTCAAAGTCAGAGGAGCCAGGCGTCCTCTTAGAAGTGGCCATAGCTGTTAAAACTCAGCAATTAAAATCATATTGTTTCCAGATGCTTCTGGAAAAAGGAGCCTGCTGGTCAGATGAGCCACTGTTCATCGGCCCTGTACTGCAATGCAGACTTCTGAGCTCCGGGGCACGGGGGACAAGTCTCATCAAGGGGCTATCATGAATGCCACCAAGTCACTCACTATCAGGGACTTACCCTCTTCAGCTTTGCAATTGTCACTGAGACAGTCCCACCGGTCATGAATGAAGTACCTCAGAGTCAAAGGGACAAATACTTGCCTGCTGGATAAGAGTGAGTTAGGAAAGATCTGACCAATGCAGAGTCCTTCTTTGGCTTCTAACTGGGGATAGCCCATCCCAAAGCTGTACGCATGTTAAGCAGAAAGGTTCAAGATACCAAAGGCATCGCCATATCTGCTAGCCCTCTGAGATTGGTAAGTCCTATCCCTTCTCCAAAGCCCATGGGAGACGGACAGCTTGGCTCTTGCTCCCAGAGCACAGATGAGGAGAGAGCTGCGAAGAAGACACGTGACACCCCCAAGGTCACACAGCAAAACAGAAATGCAGGGCCCTGCCGGATGCCATTCTGTATGCCTTCCTCAGATCATCTGTTACCAACGCGCATTGAACAAGGTGAAGGATTGGGGAGGTTATAGAAAGTAAACCGTGCTAAGTGCCTCACTTCATGAGATTAGGGGGAGGGCAGGGGAGAATCAAACCAGAAAACTAGACATAGACCAGAATAGTGTAGTTTTGTGTATGTACATGACAGCCCTCAATATAGCCTGAGCTACTGTGGCCCCTACCTCTGTGCAGCACCCCTACCTCTGTGCAGCACCCCTACCTCTGTGCAGCACCCCTACCTCTGTGCAGCACCCCTACCTCTGTCCAGCACCCCTACCTCTGTGCAGCACCCCTACCTCTGTCCAGCACCCCTACCTCTGTCCAGCACCCCTACCTCTGTCCAGCACCCCTACCTCCGGCTTCTAGGTCAGGCGCAGGTGGAAGGGGCGCATGTCGAGGATGACTACAAACCTGAGGGTTGTCCCCTGAAGAAACTGAATCCCAAGTGCATGGACCCACATCACCAAGAAGGAAATGAAAGGTCAGAGAGGTTAGCCCTCCCCAGGAGAGGTCAGGTAGGAAGTGAAGAAACCCAGACTGGGCCCACACTGCTGTGAGTCCACACTGACTTCTCAGGGCATTCCACCCTTGGTCTAACTTACCCCCCTCCAGCTCTGCCCTCCACCCCCACTCTGCTGCCTCCAGCTCTGGCCCTTCTGCTGCCCCCCCCCACTCTGCCTTCCAGCTCTGTCCCTCCCTCCCTCTGTCCCTCCCCCAGCTCCTTCCCCCCTCCATCCCTTCCCCAGCTCCATGCCTCCTCCACTCTGTCCCTCCCCCAGCTCCTTGGGGGGGGCCCAGCTCCATCCATCCCCCAGCTTTCTCCATCCCCCAACTCCTCCCACCCCACACCGCCCCTCCCCCAGCTCCATCCCTCCCCCTCCACCCCTCCTCCAGCTCCGCCCCTCTGCACTGTCTCATCAAAAGGAACCTCCTGATGCTTCAGCATCACCACCGAGTTCCTAACCAGAAACTTGATTTTGAAGGTCTCCATGTACCTTGGTTGTGCAGACTGTTTGATATTTATTTTCTTCTCTTGCCATACTGTGGAAAATACACACTTATTCCTAAGAAAGCTCAGATCCAAAGCCACAAAGTGTCCGTTTCCCACTGAAACCTGCAATCTAGTAGAAAGGCCTCCCTGTCTGCATCATTGTTCCTACTGTAAACCAAAGCTTGAGGCCACTTCCAATCACAAACTCGGTCATGTTTGGATTGGTTCTGATTAAAACCCACAT